CTCTCTAAAGACAATACGTTTGGATTTGGTGTGGCAACTGAACACAGAACTATTCATGCAGATGTGAACATGCGCAGAATTTGTGCAGTATTTGTTCCCGGGGTGCTCAGTGACGAACAGAAGGAAAGACACGTTGCCGACAGCAGGAACATGGTCGAGGGTCCTCAAAAGTGTCCATCACTTTCTCTACTGACCAGACCTTGCTCCATGTGACCTTTGGATGCTCCTCATACCGTAGAAGAATCTCAGAGACGGTAGTTTTGAAGACATTGACAAGATGAACGAGGCTGTGACAAGGGACCTTCACTTTGGATGATTTCTATATGGTCTTCACGGAGTAATCGGATCGCTATAAGTGAATTGAGGAAGATTAGAGTTTTGTACTTCTTCAAAATTAATAAATCTCTTTCCTGAAAGAGACTCAAAACTTCTGCATAGCCTATATATATATATATATATATATATATATATATATATATGTTTCATTAAATAATATAGACAATTGTTGTCTATTTATTTTATGTAAATTCTTTTCATAACGTCTGATAAGCTTAATAATATTATCATTAAACGAAGAAAGAAAATCACAATATTGATCCATATTTTTTAATAAAATCTAAGCTTTCGGCTTACATAAGCCATTATCAAAGATGGCAATTACTGTACAATATATTAAGCAATATACGGACAAGACAGTGATGATAGTCTGTTTCTGTTTACATGGATGATTTCCAAGCAAAGATAAACACGCGCATATAAGACGCTGGAAGCGAAAATCGCACCGCAGCTCATGACGTCACACGAGAGGTATTAAATATGGGAAACCGTTGATATAAACCAATGTCTTCTGTTACCAATTATAGACATTTAAGGATATTTGTGAAAATTTCATAGTTTATTTTGTTTAGGTTTCCATATACAACACTTTTCTATATTATCTAATGAAACATGTATGAATGAAAAATGCTGCCTAAATAAACAAATATATATATATATATATATATATATATATATATATATATATACACCAGGTGTAACAGCAAAATTGTCCATTTGTTAGGTTTGAGCTGATGTATCTTACAAATGATTAAAGGTATCTCAAAAATTATTAGAGATATGTTACTGGGATTTTCCGAGGATTTTTATAACACTATTAGCCTCTACTTTGAGCAATAACAATGTATATTTACTTTCCAAGCCTAACAGAAGAATTATGATGAATTCGATCATAAATGAAAATGGCATGAAGGATTGAAATAAGTTTATATTTATATATATATATATATATATATATATATATATATATATATATATATATATATATATATGTAAGCAAATGTAAATGGATATAGATCCGACAGAATAAAGAAAAATTTGGAAAAAACAAACAAAAATCCTTAAATGCAATTATGTTGTTTAAAATGTCGACGTCTGACGTTTCGGTTTAATAAACCTTTTTCAAACGGAAAGCTGATCATTTTAAAAATTTTCAGTTATCTGTTTTGGATAAGACTTGTTGTTTATGTCCATCGTCTTTGTCAAATTGAACTGAATTGTATTTTAATGAATATTGTCTTGAAAAAGGTTTATTAAACCGAAAAGTCAGACGTCGACATTTCATTCATTTTAAACAACATAATTGCATTTAAGGATTTTTGTTTGTTTTTTCCAAATTTTTCTTTATATATATATATATATATATATATATATATATATATATATATATATATTCCACAATCTTTTTACAACTTATTCAAAATGATCTTCGTCTTCTTTAGCCTTCTAACTTTCTGACTTGGAGTAACAAGGTGACTCAGACGTTTAACATACGATTTCATTTTCAAGTTTTTCATTGCTCTTTGGACTGTCATAGCTGAGACTCTTCTCTCACGTGCCAAACATATTATGGATTGAGTTGGATCTTTTCTAATTGATCTCTTTAGCTCTAAGTTAAAATGATGATCCCTCCTTCTAATGTAGCCTCCTGATCCAGTTTTCCTCTTCAATGTCCCCTCTTTTTTAAACTTATTCACCGTTTTCTTGGTGGTTCTTGAATGGACATTGAAGATGGAAGCCAGAGTATGAATGTTGGTACCATTACTAAATTTTTTATCTCATTAATACTCATTTGTGTCTGACACAAAACATTTTTATCCTGTTCTCTTTATTAGCTGAATAACTCAAAGGGTTTTTCAGTGATTCTTACGACAAGTGGTATGAAGATGGTTTTTCTGAAAACCTGTAAAAAAAACAAACACAATTAGTTTAGCGCGTTTTAGATATAAAACATTATGTGGCGTCACATTTATGCTTTTACACTATTTGGACAATTTTGCTGTTACACCCATATATATATATATATATATATATATATATATATATATATATATATATATATATAATGAAATGGACAATTATTTTAAGACATTTTTATGTTTATACATTCTTTTTTTATAGATACAAATATTTGAGTAAATGATCTGTTTATAATAAACAGTATTAAACAACATTTACTGGCCGACTGAATGTGCGAGAAATTTTCACACAAAATATTCGTCCTCCGACAGGATTCGAACCTGTATCCTATACGGAACCGTCATTCAGGCCGGTAAATGTTAGTAAAAAACAAAGCATTTACTTAAATATCTGTATCTATAAAAAAAAAAAAAAGTATAAACATAAACATACATATATATATATATATATATATATATATATATATATATATATATATATATATATATATATATATATATATATATATATATATATATATATATATATATATATGATGAGGGAGTTTGTTCTTTTTGTGTCTAATAATTTAAGGGTGTGCTGTTTACTATGGCTCTCCACATCTTCCAGCATTTTTACTCGAAGTAATTTTTGGGTCTTTGTTTTTGTTCTGCCATCAAACCTCACAATCACAATGCTTTACTCCTTGTTTCCCTTGCGTCATTTGCCCTCAATATATCATGTGAGTGTTGAATTCTCCAGGCCCGCTTTTCTCATTGCTCCAAAAATCCCCGGCTGTTTTCTTAATTATTCCGTTTTATATACGAACACGAACATATTGTTAATTATTTCATTTACAAGTTCTGTTTGGAAATCCTCCAACCATTTTGAGTATCACGAGTACTGTCTGTCCATTCTTGTGTAACTTGGCAACTAATAGGAACGCACCTCACACCCCGCGCGTCATCAGAGATTTTGCCAGCGAGACGCCACTGTATTTGTGTAACAGTTGCATTAACGGCGAATATTTGTTAGGTATTGCTAGAAAATGTCCGCATTTCGTCCACGGATTTTATTCGAAAGAATTCTTTTTGGAGATGTTTCCATGAATAAGACCCAGATAAAATTTAGGCATCACGATGCTTCCAAGACGTCCGTAGTCGGAAATTGCATTCAACGAGCAACCCACACGAAAAGGTTGAAAAGTAAGCGCATCGCAACAATGTCGAACAGTGATGCTGTCAAAATCAGAAGATCTGCAAATTCCAAACAGTTTCCGGAAGGTATTCATCAATTTTCAGCATCGCAAGTGACCATTCTTGGCCTTTCAACCTGCAGAGTTTAGGGGCAAAACACGTCCGAATTTCGGCTATTCATGGTGGTTCCTAAAGCTAATATATGCATCGAAAGAGTGTTTTGTCAGCGGAAGAGGTAGCTGATGGTGATCTCTTCTAACAAGACTTAATAAAGTGAAAGCGACAAGGATACTATTGCAAAGGGCAATAACCTTCCACAGTCGCAAGTCCTTTACATTCCTTAAATATTATTGCCATGATCATTTATCGAATGAACTCCTATATATATATATATATATATATATATATATATATATATATATATATATATATATATATATATATATATATATATATATAAAGATTCAAACACTGGCACCCATCGTGACGCTATACTTAGAAGATTCGTCACGGAGACCAGTAGACTGGTTAAGTGAGTTCGATTCTCACTGAGTGCCATACTACTTTGGTCTTGCGCTTGAATAACTAGAGCATAGAATGTAATTATATTGAGTGTTGCGGAGTAGTTAGAGTGCTCATCTCGAGGAGAAATACGTTTAGGTTACAGCAATCCAAAAAGAATTTCGAAATTAAATTCGATTCTTCATATATGTATATATCTGATTATATTCATAATAATTCCTTTAATGGATGTCTTGCGAATCGAATCCTGGATATACATTCGGCAGTAAGGCTTATGAACAGAAGAAAGGAGGCTTTGAGAAGTGTGGATCTACCTCTTAACCGCTAAGTTCCCAGGTCCACCCTGACTCAGGGTGGTAACACCACTTAGTCTCCCAGCTATGGGCAAATAACCCAAACAAAATCAAAACGCTCTGAAATTATAAAAATTTATTTTATCATAAAAATACCAGCAATACATTTTTATATACAAAATTACCAACAATATAAATTTATACTAAATATACCAACAATAACTATTTATAGTTAAATTATCAACAATACCTATTTATAGTAAAATTATCACCAATACATTTTTATATAAAAAAAATACCAACAGTACAGTTTTAACGCAAAATGTCCAACAATATATTTTATACCTAGTTGAAGCGATACAATTACGTTCAAAATATATTCAGTTGAAACCGTAAAATTTCCGCATTAAATAACCCATAAAGGTTGTACTATTTACTTTATTCGGAGTATTGTCCTCATCTTTGTTGCCATATTTATCACAACGTTCGGCGACAAAGATGAGGACAATAGTCCGAATAATGTAAATAGTGTACATAATACCTCATCTCAGAAATATAGACAGATACCATAGCGGTTGATATCTCACTAAACAAAACCAATCAACACGAAAGAACCCTTGTATGACATTAATCTATAAAGTATCCTACAATTTCTGGAAGAAATCAAATTGTATTCCAAAATATAACGTCAACAGAACTACAACAGAAAATACAGATATCACTGTCTCTAGTAATTATGTTCACACAAATGGCTTATGGCCACATCACGTTTAAACACCTTTTCCCGTACGATCACCGAGGTTAAGCAACGCCAAGCCTGGTCAGTACCTAGATGGGTGACTGCTTGTGAATACTATGTTATGTAAGCTTCGATGTGTGGGTTGTGCAACGGATAATGACGAGGAATTTTTAATCAGTGAGCCAAGTTCGAATTCCAGTCGAGTTCTTTGTATTCACTCATGTGCCAATACTCTTGGGAAAGCAAATAAATCCACCTCATTTCCCCCAGCTATGGGTTAATTAGTAAGACTTGTATCACTAAACCATTATTATCGCCAGAAATATGATAATACTGTGTACACAAAATATTTAGATTTCGGCATTAAATAACCCATAGAGGTGTTGATATGCCGCTAAACAAGAACAAACATGTATATGTAGAAAAAAGGAGTATCAACTACAATGTAATTAATTGTGAAAGCATAATATCCTATATCATATTTCTATTATTTCAAAGCTCCCAAGAAAATACAATTTCCACATTAGGAGTTGATGTGCCAAAAAAACAATCAAATCGTGTGAATCGACATTTTTGTTTCGCTTCCACGATTATGAATTTTCGGTTGAAAAATCTTTTCGCAAAATATTAATTGCTGTTAAGAATTTAAGGTAGACTACAGCGTGCGAGATGTTATTTTAATTATGATTGGTTTTTATTTCCTCTTCAATTAAGAGATAAATTTACATTTCTGAATTTTCAATTAGTTTAAAATAAAATCATATCAGGCAGAAAACTAATTTTCACGTTATAGCATAAGTGATATCAGAAATCCGATAACGTTTGGTTCAATGACTTTTCCGATATTTTGAAATACAGAAACGATAACAGTACAGATTATCATGTCGTCGGATAAGTAATGTCGGAAGTCGGAGAACGATCGTTTCGATTACTAGAATGAAAACATCACATTCTTTTATGGCATCCTATGAAAAATATCTGGAATATGGTATTCCTAGTTTAATGATGTTTTTGCACTTCTATACTTTCTGACAGTTAACTGTGTTCGCTATTCTCATATCTGTAAATTATAGCAATGTATGCATTGCATAACTAGTAAGGTATTATCCAATTTATCTTTATCAGACTTTGGGTATTACTTATGGGATGATATAATTGCCTGTATTGTAGCATCGAAATTATTATCCAATATATTTTTTTCTTGTGGCGATGTTGTAAAATACGTAAATGGATTAAAGAAATATTCTATAACGTCGTCCCATAAATAATGTCCGAAATTTGAACGTAGTGGATTAAATCTTTCACTATTCAAAATAACTGAATAATAAAATACACATCCGATCATGTCTTCCCATATACAATGCGCCAAAATTTGATCGCAATAAATTGAATAATATTTTCGCTATTCTAAAATGCATACATGATTTTAAAAAAGTGCTATCACGTCATCCCATAAATAATGTTCCAATATTTGAATCGCAATAAATTGAATAATATTTTCGCTATTCTAAAATGCATACATGATTTTAAAAAAGTGCTATCACGTCATCCCATAAATAATGTTCCAATATTTGAATCGCAATAAATTGAATAATATTTTGCTATTCCAAAATGCATACATGATTTTAAAAAAGTGCTATCACGTCATCCCATAAATAATGTTCCAATATTTGAATCGCAATAAATTGAATAATATTTTCGCTATTCCAAAATGCATACATGATTTTAAAAAGTGCTATCACGTCATCCCATAAATAATGTTCCAATATTTGAATCGCAATAAATTGAATAATATTTTCGCTATTCTAAAATGCATACATGATAAAAAGTGCTATCATGTCGTCCCATAAACAATGTCCCAAAGTTTCATCACAATAATAATATTTTCGTTATTCTAATGTGCTCAAACGATAAGAGTGTGACTTCTCAAGACGTTCGACCAATATGACTGTTATTTTCACTATTTTAAAATGGGTAATTATTAGCTTGAGTCATAAGTAATTTCCACTTTTGAGACCCAATTACAATAACGAATGTAATCAACCTTAAGAATAATTTCGTAGTAAATTAACAGTTAAATTTACGCATCACTGGCAGCGTACATAGTTGGATTAGAGAAGAAATGTTGTTCTCCTCGATGACAACGCAGTGGAGCCTGCAGTAATAAGATCACAGGAAAAAAATTATGGAATTCGGCTGGTCTGTTCTAAGGTATCAACTACCTACACCAGACTTTGCGCTAATAGATTATTACCCTTTTCGATAGGCAAAAGGTTTGATGTGGAAAACTTTCTCTAACGAAAACCAGCTTCAAGAGTTCGTCGAAAGCATTTTCGAGTCAAACTCTTCAGAATATTATTCAGCAGGTAACAAAGAGTCATCTACTAAGTGGCAACATGTCATTTCAAATAATGGTGAATATATAATTGTATAAAATGTAATTGCACTTTATTTTCTGAAGAATAAAATTCATAAAAAACGGAAATTATTTATGACGCAACCTAATAGCGTTTATTTATGTATTTATCTATTTTTGTATAGCGGTACATCAACACCTCTAAGGGTTACTTAATGCTGAAATCTAAGTATAAACGTATGTTTTGTGTAGATATATGGTTTGTAGATGATATACATTATTGTAGATGATATTATATTAACTTAACCCAAATGTGTTGTGAGTTCAACACCTAGGTACAAATCTTCGACAGTTGAGTTAAAGGGACAAAACTGATACATCCGGAAGAGGCGTGGCACGTGGAACTAGAACAATCTACCCCAGTGGACGAAATAAAGTGTTCAGTTCGAAATTCCAGTTAACTGAAGGCCGGAGAGTTCAAAGGCCGAAACATCGGGAACATAAAAAGAAAAAAAAATGTACTTGACAGGAAACCATAGGAGGGAAATGTGAGAGAAGTATTAGAATATAATAAACGATTACATCTAGCAATTTCAACAGTAATCATTTCCCAATCAGGTATTTATGGAGACAAGCATTTATTCCTTGTTTACTAGTAAATCCGACAGATCTGGCTGCTGCTCTTGAAAAGGACCTCCAATCAATGCTTGAAATGACTTGTAAATTTTAACGCTTCCAAAGTAGAACTTTCATTTAATCACCACAGAAAACCTAATATTCCTGCAATCAGTATGGCTGATGCTAAACTCCAGCAGAAAAATCCTTTGTTTATTGTTCTACTCCACTGATAGGAAGCGACGCGACTATATCGAATTAATTGCTTCGTCTATTGCAAGAAAAGTTGGTTGAAAATTAATCTCCTCAGAATCTATCTGGTACATTTATAAATCTACCATTCGTCCGTGCATTGAATACTGCTGTCATATCTGATCTGCTGCTTCTGTGATAAAGCATTCCACTTGGTGGGCAGTTATGTCTTAGCGTTTTAGTGTGGAACTAGCTAGATTCTAATCTAACAGATTCTTTTCTCGCACTCCCCGCACGTGGAACACTCTTTCAATTTCTAGCTTCCCTGGTAACTATAACCACCAAAAATTTAAATGTAACGTTAATCGCCATTCTTCTCTCTTCTTGATAGATAGATAGATAGATAGATAGATAGATAGATAGATAGATAGATAGATAGATAGATAACATAATCAAATAGATAAAGAGAGTGAAAGAAAATAAGAGAATCAGATAGATAGATAGATAGATAGATAGATAGATAGATAGATAGATAGATAGATATCCCAATCAGATACATAGATAATAATATAATCAGACGGATAGAGAAAGGGGGAGAGAATAACAAAATCAGATAGATAGATAGATAGATAGATAGATAGATAGATAGATAGATAGATAGATAGATAGATAGATAGATAACAGAATCAGACAATAACAGAATCAGATAGAGTAAGAGAGAGGGAATAACAGAATCAGATAGATAGATACATATATATATATATATATATATATAGAGAGAGAGAGAGAGAGAGAGAGAGAGAGAGAGTGAATGAGAAAGAGATTGTGGGAAAAGTGCCTGTCTGTTAATTTCACTTCTTTCTTCTTTGTCTGACTTTCACTCAGGGTTTGGAACGTTTCAGTACTTATCCAATCAGATACGCCTGCCCAGGTTCCGCCAAAAGAGACATCAACTTTTTCGAAAGCTATGCAGGACAAGAGTGGCTTTGGAATTCACAACGAAAAGGAGAAAGAAAAAAAAAATAACGCGCCAAAACTTCAATTACGTCAACCTGATTGTATACGATCACCATTCTTTGTTTTTCATTCTTGTTTTCTTTCCTCTTAGCCCTTACGCATGGGCAAGGCAGAACCAAACTGCTGTGTAGACCCCTCTGGGAAGGAAAGATGCAACCACAAACAACGCTATGTTATCTTCTGTCGCGTAATTAACTTCCGCCACGCGTTTGTGTGATACGAATTCAGCAGGGTAAGCCAGAAGTGAGCGCTTCCTTCAGATTACAATTACAATGTCTCCCTCCTGGGGATCTTGATATATCAATGGAACATCCCCGTGTATTTTTTTCTTTCTCCGCTTCTTTCATCCCCCCTCAGTGAAGGATGAAAGGCTACGGTATTTACAGCTGGCTTCTTCAAATTCAATGATTCATCTGATCTCGTATAATTAAAATGCCTCGAGAATCATCGGGGATCTTTACTATTTTTTTTTTCATGTTCGCGAAAGAATAGATAAATCCTACTTTTCATATTGATTATCTTATTCTGTTTCGGATTTTTTTCTATCAATTTTCAGTTCTTTTCATAGATAGGAGGCAAGCTTTATTTGCCTAAGGAAATTTTGGCAAATTGGAAATGAAGATGCTGGTTTCGAAAGACGTTTTTAAGCTAATATCTTGGACTGTGTCATTCAACAATTGGAGCTTGACATTTGTTTGAGTCAGAAGAGCAGCTCAACTTATCGTGGCCAATTATCCATTTGCAATTTAGCTATCTATCTTTAGATATGAACATACTGTGATAGAGAGAGGAACATAATAATGGGGAAAGGTGGGTAGATAGGACAAGAATCAGATAGATAGACAGAAATGAAGAGACTAAGATAGATAGATAGATAGATAGATAGATAGATATGAACAGACTGAGATAGATAGATAGATAGATAGATAGATAGATAGATAGAT